CAAATTGAGGCAGTAATTAAAGCAAAAGGAGCCCCTACCAAGTATTGAGTGCATGTACAGTAAATGAACATACTTTCCAGAAGGCCAACAATTCACTAAAAATGTTTTTTTTTATTGGTCTTATGAAGTATTCTAATTTGTTGAGATAGTGAATCATCACAATTAAAAGAAACGAAGACTTAAACTACTTCAGTCTGTGTGCATTGAATTTATTTAATACACAAGTTTCACAATTTGAGTTGAATTACTGAAATAAATGAACTTTTCCATGACATTCTAATTTATTGAGATGCACCTGTAAGTGCACCTCAGGAACATTCTAAAATAATTCAAAATATGCATTTCATGACTGCTTTAAAACATGCATTAAGCATTCAAAAGGTTCACATTATTTTCACATGCACACAATTATAAATATTTTTAGCTGTTATATGTTTAAATAAATATAAAACACCTGAATAGTTGTAAAGTTAGAGGACTGGCTAATTAATATTAATATTACTATAAATTCCCTTGGCATTTGAGATGTAACATAAGGCTTACATATAAAATGTTGGTAAAAGTATGTAACCGTCCGTAAATTTTAAGTTTACCTGCTTGGCATGATTGATGTTTAATGTCCCAGATCGTGCCATTTAGCTGTCTTTTTCAACACACGTAAAATCACCAGTGGAGTATTATTGATATTTTATGTTGTAAAATAAAATGTGAAAATATCTTGAGCTTCTGTTATCAACTGACCTTATGTCAGCCATTGACTTTGGGACTTTTGGGAAATTCAAAAATGCTAACTTGTTTCCAGGTTTTAGGATTCATTCCTGCAGGACTCTATATGTGAATGCAAATGAAATTCGAGAGCTGTGGGGAAAAGAAACGTTTCAGCAAACGATTTGGTCTTCCTAACAGACCGTTCTAAACTTATATGCACAATGAGGGTGAGTAAATGATGACAGAATGTTAATTTTTCGATGAACCAGCCCTTTAAAAGGCTATTTAGGACAGAGTGCAGTGTTTCATCTCTAAACGGTGAGGAGAAAGTGTGTGTGTGTGTGTGTGTGTGTGTGTGTGAGAGAGCGCATTTGAAGGGTATCCGTGTTAAGTCAATGGAGGGATCAATGCTACAGCAGTGACACCACACCCTCCTCTGTTTACTCAATTAATCACAATCTTTCTTTCTCTCTTTTCTTCTCTATCTCTCTCACTCTCAAACTCTCTCCTGACACTGTCTGTGAAGCAGGTCACAGCACTCAGTCAAACTGTCACACACACTGGGAGGTATCAGGGTACGGTGGCCTGTTGAGGACACATAAAGCAGGCTAGTTCTCCAGAGACTCACTGGTTTCAATATGTTCCTTCTCACCACTCTGTTTATCACAGGAAAGGAGCGACACTTTGTTTTTAGAGCTGTTAACATTTGTTTGGTGCCGTTTTATTTAATGCAATTAACACTTTTAGTGAATATGAATTTAGACGTACTAGAAAATGCAGCCTGACTCTCATTTACTAATAAATGTAATTAATGTAAATGTAATTTATAAATGAAATCCTGATAAGAAAAGTATTCCTGAAATCTAATTATGTCCGAATTTAATAAAAATGCTCAATATCTGCAGTACTGCTGCAATAACTGTTATTTTGCTTTTGTTCCTTAAATGGGAAATGTAAAGAAACTTATTAAAATGTTAAGATTTAAAAAGAAAAAAAATCGACCTACTACTGTTCAAAATATTTTTATTGTTAATGAAAGAAGTCTCTTATGCTCACCAAGGCTGCATTTATTTGGTCAAAAATAGAGTAAAAACTGTAATATTGTGAAATATTATTACAATTTGGAATAACCGTTTTCTATTTGAATATATTTTAAAATATAATTTATTCCCGTGAGGGCAAAGCTGAATTTTCAGCATGATTACTCCAGTCCTCGGTGTCACATGATCCTTACCATCTTCCTAATATGCTGATTTGGTACTCAATAAACATTTCTTATAATTATCAATGCTAAAAACAGTTGATCTGCTTAATAATTTTGTGGAAAGCATGTTATTTTTTTTCAGGATTCATTCATAAATATAAAGTTCAAAAGAACAGTGTGTATTTTAAATATGATTTTTGTTTTGGTAACAATGTAATACTGTCACTTTTTATCATTTGAACATGTCCTTTCTGAATAAACATATCTCTCACTTTTTTACCTCAAATGCTCAGTGGCAACACGGGTTCTTCAAATAAAAGCTATTTTAGATTTCTTCGTGGAAAGCATGTTATTTTTTTTCAGGATTCATTCATAAATATAAAGTTCAAAAGAACAGTGTGTATTTTAAATATGATTTTTGTTTTGGTAACAATGTAATACTGTCACTTTTTATCATTTGAACATGTCCTTTCTGAATAAACATATCTCTCACTTTTTTTACCTCAAATGCTCAGTGGCAACACGGGTTCTTCAAATAAAAGCTATTTTAGATTTCTTCATTCAAATTGAGCTTAAAATGCATCAAAAAGTGGTGTGGGTTTGGATGGAAGGGGACAAAAACATTAGATACAAAAATTATGATCAGGAGTGCTTAATTCATGACTATGATTGGGGCTGGGTCAAATTGTAAAGAAAAATAAAAAGGTAAATGTACACAAAATGTATGTTGTGATTATTTGAATCTACTAACATTTATGTTGCACTATTCAATTGGCTACAGTCTATAATTACACTTATTAAAAACCATCAGTAAAACATAGTAAGCCTTTGTGCGTGTGTGTGTGTGTGTGCGAGAGAGAGCGAGAGAGAGAGAGAGAGAGAGAGAGAGAGAGAGGCGGTGTGTGAGGGTGAACCTTCCTCATAGCCTCCTCAGATCGTGAGCAGAATGAATGTGATTAGACTCTCAGGCAGGAGCAGAGGTGAATGCATTTGTGATAAATAAATTGAGAGTTGACACTGACCCTTACAATGTCCGAGGTATTTGACCTCAATCCTCTCCTGCTTCTGACACGACACCTCTTTCACCTGGCAGGGGTTGTCATAGGAACGGCCGTCTGATGCACAGACTGGATTAAAACTGATGTGGGAGCAATCGATGTTGCACACACACCTGCAGAGAGAGAAAGAGAGAGTGTAAACTTTCATAGATTCATGTCTGGGTTTTATCATAGAAAGAAGTGTCAGGCAATAAATTCCATATATGTGTGTTTTGTTTCTTCAACAATGATCGTGTTCATGTCCCAGGGCTTGGTTTCATTTTTTTGGACTACTTTTCACATACTTTGTTTGTGTGGAGTATTTTAATCTTGTCCCAGACCAGTGTTAATTGAATATATTTGATATTTTGAATTAGTTTTCACTTACATTTTTTAATTTCACTTTAATTTTGGCTAAAGTTTTAGTAATTTTTGTTGTGTTTTTGTCATTAAAAAAAAAAAATTCTATTTAGTTTGTATTAATTTTCGTACATTGATTTAAACTAAAAGAAAATAAAAAAATAAGATTTTTCCAATATACAGACTTCATCTTAAAATAAGAAAATCCATCATAACATACATTTTTTAAACTATAATGATCTAAACAAAAAGGTAACTAAACCATTTTAATACATATTGTGTGAAAATGATTTATAAAAAATGTTTAAACATTTCTTCCGCCACAAACAACAATTTTGCTGTTTTTATTAAAGTTACTGTACTTGGTTACAATGTCAGTGTGTAAACTTTGTATGAAATATGAGACGTAATGACATTTGTTCATTAGGGATCAGGTGATGCATGTATAGTATATCCACTGTTGGACATTTAATGAAGTACTTTAATTTCCAAAAGTCCACAGGGCCCAAAGCGCCCAGCGTTTAAAAAATAATTATGCACAATAATAAGAAAAAGTCACTTAAACAAATCACAGCAAATTAAATGCCAACTATTAAAGAAACTAACAAACATATTTAAGTTCAAGAATAATAATAACTGGTTTCTGAAACTTTCAAAAAAGAGAAATATGGAGTTGGACTTCCAACTTATATGAAATATGCTGCTTTGTAGACACAGATGCTGAACCTCCTGAACCTTATTGATGATTTTAACATCTATTTGTCAAATAAAATGACACAACCAGTTCCAACACACAAACAGGTTTTAATAAATGGTTGATAAATATGGCTGCAACAAACTGAAGTGGAAAACATTGCTATAAACCACCTTATTAATAGATAAAACATCAGGATGTTAGAGACCATGTGATCACGTAATTATGTGATGACAAAAAGAACCGCTGAATCAGTTCACTGAAATGAACCAATTTTGTGGAAATGAGTCAGAATTCATCATTATTCTGAATGTTCCTATAAGAGCAGAGATAAGCACTGATGAATAGATGCACACAGACTCTTCATTCCTTCAAACATTATTGCACCAACCGTATCTTTCAGTTTACTTTGCATTGCGTTTGCAGTTTCTCTGTTCATTTATTTAACTAAACGCACACTTCTGCCAGACACCCCATTACTGGAGACTGACTCTATCCTGGCAGAATGAGCATCGTCTCTCCCTCTCTTGTACTTGCAGTCTGAGATATTTATCTATCTGGATGAGCTTTGATATTGCCATCTGTTTGCCTGTGTGGTCTCAGATTAAATATATTATTTTTACTCCTTTTTTTTTTAACCAAAAATGAGTTTGCCAGTTTGTATGCCTCTATGCATATTTATGGATATGTTTGCAGTCAATAAGTCTCCACTAGTGGAAATGTTACCATTTAGCATTTCTGTCATTTAAACCTCTGTTGCATGGTGACCACTACAGTGTAAATTTCTCAGAATGAATCATTTGGAAGTATTAATGACATATTATTAGATAAGGAATCATTCTGTTCCCAAATATTGTAATATTAATATAAATTAGGCTAAATATTAATATTAAGATGTTAACAAAAACAAAATATTTGATAATAGTTGTTGTTAATTAAAATCAAGCTAAAATAATTTTTTTTTTAAATTAGAAATGTTTCCTTGGCAACTAATTGAAATAAAATATAGTTGAAGTAAAATGACTACAACTGAAATGAAGCTAAACAGAAATATTTTTTAAAAAAGCATTCAAAATTTAACTAAAATTAACATTAAATAAATAAACTTGGTTATGAGTCCCAGATGTGGTTTCAGGCTTTTGTAACCCACTATTTGTACTCATAACATTGAATATCAAAGAACATCTAACATAGTCATACTGCTAGTTCATAAGATGAAAGTGTTGTCTGGCATTGGAAAGTGTCTAACTAGGACCATACGGTAATTGCCATACAGTCACACTTACAAATTCTTAGAGAGAGAAAGAGAGAATGCACTTAGACCAGATATATTTGCTGCATCTCCTCTGTCTAATATATTTACTGGTGAGCACTTCATCTCTGAGTCTGGTATTGATTTATAAAACCCTGCTGTAATATTTCTAATCCCTCCATATATGCCCAGAGGATAACAGACCAGACCTGGCAGTGTTCGGCAAGACATACACGAGTCAAAGCAACATGAACCATGCCTGACTCGACTTATCCACACTTATCATGTTCTCAGACATTCATCTGACAAAACAGGCACATGCAGGCATGCACCCAATATGTGATTGTAACAGCATGAAAACTGCAGATTCACTGCATTTTCACTGAGCTGAAAAAAATGTGATTAGAGGGTATGAATTGATTACTGTTAGCTTGAGCTGGATTTCTATGCTATAGGACCGACCGCATCAGTGCTCACAGATGTAGCTGCTAATTGGTTATCAGACACAGCACACACATACAAATAGATTCCAAGGGGAAGAAAGGTAATGAAAGAGAGAGAGAAAGAGAGTGATGGAGAGAGAGGAGTCCTATAACGTCTGGAATTACAACTCTGCAAATCAATCTAGCACACTCACTGTTCGCTGTGGCTGATGGAAACTATATTTTCTCATTTTTCACAGCTTTTCAAAAATATAATTGATGAAAGCAACATAGAAAGGATCAGTAGGGATTTCATGACTCTCAAAGATATACTTAATCTTGTGGAATTGGAGCAGCTATATTTGGTTTAAAGATTCCCTGCATATTAAACCACAAAACCTACAGCGAATGTCACAGAAAAACATCTTCTAAGAGGCCATATTCTACACATTTGTAGCCTTTTCCATGATTAAGTCTACTTGTATATATAGGATTTCTTGATTCAACAGGTCTGGCAGTAATCAGGCCTGGGTGTGTCTAGTGAAATTTAACTCAGCTTTCTAAAATAATGTATTTAATTGCAGTTCTTTCATGATTTAACAGGAGGGGGTAATTACGTTTTCACGTAAGGCCACGTAGGTTTGGAAAGCTTTTTTCCCTTAATAAATGAAATCATCATTTAAAAACTGCATTTTGTATTTACTTGCATTATCTTTGTGTAATATTAAAATTAGTTTGATGATCTGAATCTTTTAAGTGACAAATATGCAAGAAATTTAAAAAAAAACTTTTCACACCACTGTGTATGTATATATATATATATATATATATATATATATTTCATTTGAATGATTTGTTGTTTATTGCAAATCAGGGTTTTTGTGTAAACGATATACATGTTTTAAAATTAGATGACAGGTTTGCTAAAATAAAACTTCTTATCAACTGTTCGGACTCTCATTCTGACGGCACCCATTCACTTCAAAGGATCTATTGGTGAACAAGTGATGTTTCTCCAAATCTGTTCCAATAAAGAAACACACACATCTCAGATGTCCTGAGGGTGACTAAACTTTCATTGTTTGGTGAACTATAGGTGAACTATTGATTTAAGCACCTCCTTTCACTGATTATTTGTTAGAAAAAAATAAATAAATGTATTAAGAATTCCAGGGCCTATTTTAAATCGTATTTTGAAAGTGCCCCCACACCCGCTTTTAACCGACCTCATGAACCTTAACGTAGACGCACTCACACACATTAACCGCTGAGATGCCTCATTTCCCTCTTTTCATCTCTGTCTCCTTCTGATATTTTCTCCCTCATTCGTTCCCGTCCCTTTTCACATCTCTATCTCTCTCCATTCCTCGGTCTCCCTCTGATCTGTCTGGTTAGTGTATTACCGTGAGGGATATTTGAATGGTAATTGCTCTCCCATGGTCCTGAGGTTTTAATCTGTCTGCTAGGGAAGAGGAACTCTATTAATTAAAGATGGAATTGCAGCGGAGAGCTGCACTCTTTTGCCCCTCCATCTCTTGGGTTGCCAGTCCGCTGTTCTGAACGTTGGGCCTTGTACTAGGAAATAATCCATCATCCTTCCAGACTGACAGAGAACTGACCCTCACAGTCTGGCGACAATACAATTAACATTTACAATCTGCTCAGAATGCCACAGAATGCCACAGCACAACATGTTAGTCAATGGGTTAAATAAATTACAAGGCTGAAATGAAAGAGAAACCTGAAGGGGAAATGATGGCAAAAAACAAGCCTTGTCCATGTGAGTGATTACAAACAGGTCAGAACATTGACCTGAAATCTATTTTTGCAATAGATGTGTCCAGATGGGAGGTTGGCAAAGTCATCAAAATTGCAAATTAATATTTCATCAAAATGTAATAACTTGCTCTGACTCCGAAATTAGTTTTGCTGACATCACAAAAATCAGTCTTAATCAGTATTTCTGTCCCGATTTCCAGTAAAAAATAGCTAAACATCCTCAAAACAGGATGAATCTGCTTATCTTGAATTAAGTTTATTTTACTTACCCTACTGGTAATTTGTTTTTCTAGCTTTAATCATAAGCCTCACTAGAGATAAGGGACAGATATCACAAGAGAGATTGCAAAGCTAAAAGGAAGCAAGAAAGAGATGGGAAGACAGAGAGAAGGACAATCGAATAGAGATTATTTACTGCAGTGCATTCCGTACAGCACGCACCCTCGGCGATGCACTGTAATGCATCACAGTGAAATGGCGTAGACTTTATCAGCCTTCAGAATCAGTGCCAGGAAGAGCAGAAACTCACAAGAAGCAGGCCTGCAGAAGACTCTACATCAGATACATGCCATTAGACACACCCCTGTATTCCTCAAGCCCTCTGGCTCTCTGAAGAACAGAACGTCAGGACCCTGAAAAGCTGTCGCGTGCGTTTGTGACTCACCACACGTCCTCAGAATCCTCGTCGCACTCGGCCCCAAACTGACAAATGTCGCACGTTGATGTCTCCTTCTGACTGATCTCTGCTGAACCCTCGTTAACTGCAGAGAGCGAGAGAGAGAGCAAATGAGATGAGAGATCTTGAGAGCTGCACTTAAAGGGGTCATATTATGACGAATCAAATTTTCCACTATCTGTTCAGATAAAAGAGCTCAGTGTTCTTTTATGAAAAAATCCTAAACTGCTGTTATTTGATTTACATGAGTGAAAAGAGAAGATCGTATTTGAGGTAAAATATGAGATGTGTACAAAAAAAAAAACTAGGTAAATGTCACTTGTGAAATGAATGTTTTTATTGTGCTTCGTGAAAATGTGCAAATGTGCTTCAATTTCAATCAAGTAATTATAAATGTGTTTATTTAGGATAAAATGCTAGCTGTAAAAATTGCCTTGGCAACACAAACAAGCTGGCCATTTTATTTAATTTCCATACCAGAATGTTATCAAACATAATTCATGCACATTAAAAAATACTGGTAAATTTGCTTTCATTAAGTGATATAATGTTAATATACCAGTCCACTTGAACTACCAGAGTCTGCTTTGTACCTTAAAATATACTGATAACCACTATAATACATGTGGTAAAATAGAAAACCCCATTATGAATCCGAGTGCATCATGAGTGGCCTATCCATAAAAAAGTCAGTGTCAAAACAAGAATCATGACATTAAAAAAAACATTGCAAAACTTCCTAATGACCATTTCTGAAAACAAACTAAGAAGAAACTATTGTCGGAAGGAGGGACTTTGTAGAAAACGAAGCGTTTGAGAGAGGCGGGGCATAGAGGACCTACAATAATGTACAGTATTTGAATAATAATGTTTTTTGAACATTAAAGCATGTCAACATATTCTGTTACACCAAATACACAAAATAATGATCTTTTAAAAAAAAGCATCATATGACCCCTTTAAATAAAATAAATTCATGTGTGATTTTGCCATGCAGGGACTTCTGGAAAATGATCTTTGAACATAAATGTTACAGTAAATCATAGTTTTTACTTTCAAAACCCATACCATTTTTATCTTGATAATATAGCAAGATATCTTGCAGTTAACAAATGTAAAAAAAAAATTGTGAGATGTGGTGGAAATGAGTGGAAAAGAAAAAAATTATTATGCTGCTTGTATGGTATACTGCTGTACATTGCCAGTATACAATTGTGACCCTGGACCACAAAACCAGTTATAAGGGTACATTTTTCGAAATTGAGATTTATACATAATCTGAAAGCTGAATAAATAAGCTTGTTAGGATAGGACAATATTTGGCCGAGATACAACTATTTGAAAATCTGGAATCTGAGGGTGCAAAAAGATCAAAATACGGAGAAAATCGCCTTTAAAGTTGTCCAAATTAAGTTCTTAGCAATGCATATTACTAATCAAAAATTATGTTTTAATATATTTACAGTAGGAAATTTACTAAATATCTTCATGGAACATGATCTTTACTTAATATCCTAATGATTTTTGGCATAAAAGAAAAATCAGTAATTTACAATGCATTTGCAATGTATTTTTGGCTATTGCTACAAATATACCCCAGCAACTTAAGACTGGTTTTGTGGTTCAGGGTCACAAATAAAATGAAAATGTGAAAAGTGTTTTAAGAGAGATTATTTTTAAAAGTCAACCTGACCAAGTTTCCATAGTTTAAAGTAATTCCCATATACTGTACCATGAAAAAGTCCAGCCACAGCTTCTATAATTTAAAGTGTATGCAATCCTATAGGAAGTGAATATTTGAATGTAAATGGGTTCTAGATTACCAGAAATAGACATCAGTAACAGCCATCAGGTGTATGGTTATATAATTAGTTACTAATTACTGACCGCAGTATCAGTCAAGCTTCCCCTCTACAAAATAAAAACTGTAACCGTAAAAGTGATTTGTGATGCGTTATTGATGGCAAAGAGCCAGAGACTCTTCCGTTAGCCATCGCCTTCACGAAAATCTGACATTGCCACAAGTTCATCACCACAGAGATGAAGACACCTCACCTTAGTGGTTTTATGCTGAAAGAAGAACATTGTTCAGAGTGTATTTGTAATGTAATCTAAGCTTGAATAGTGCTCCTTACTAAAACACTTCAATTAGGACAGTGCTAATTGCAAATTAGCAGTCCTTGAACAGCTACTGGCAGTAAATGAAAGAATCTAGATAAACATAGCATGTGAGTGTTTCTGAAAGCTAAATATGGGTCAAGCAGCAGTTTTCTGCTTAAAAAATAGCTATTTTGAGTGGGTGTAAAGGAACGGCCTGATTTTCTACACATTATGGAGAATAACGTGTCAGTTGCTGCAATGTGGTCACACTGAGTTTCACCGAGTCAAGGATAGTGTGTAGTGTTGCTAATAAAAGCTAGACAAAGCACTGTGAGTTACTTAAGGAAGCACATTTTTACATCAGTTCTACACACAGTAAAAAAATCTGTGACATTTACGGTAAAATACCGGCAGCTGTGGTTGCCAGAACTTCACCGGAAAAAATATGGTAGCAACATTTTAGGTTTTACAGACTTAACTTAAATTCACAATAAAATACCGTATTTCATTAACTGATGTAATGTTAATAAACAAACATATTGAAGTATTAATATCTGTTTTGAACCATTGTAATGCACTGTTAACCACCAAAAACTGGTGGTGATGAGAAAGTCACATGATGAACCAAAGCTCATCACAAACAACTTTTCTACGAGCTGAGGAGGTGTCACATTCACACAAACACTAAACCCCATCATGGTGACACACATGATACTGAAATAATTAAATAAACATTAATTTAACAACATTAGATGTAAGATTAAACCCTAATGTACACAACTGATAAGAAAAAACATGTTATTTCAACAATAAAACATCAAATATGAAGTGTTATGCAGGGAATTCTGGGAGTGTCAATTTACGGTTTTTCACTGTAAATTATAGAATGACTTTTTCACTTCCAAAGAACGTATATTTTTTAACAGTATTTTACTGTAAAATTACATTAAATGTAATTACATTTATTCACCGAATATAGTATGGAAACTTACTGTTAACCAGTTAACAGGTTTTTACTGTAGCATTTTTACAGTCTTTTACTGTTAAAATCACAATCTTTTTTTTTTACAGTGCACTGTATGATGATTCATGAGGTAAAGTTTGAACTGTAGCTACCCATAGGATCCTGTGATTGTTACTTTATGGTGTGGATCTGACTAGCTACATCAATATCTCTGATAGTGAGAATAATGTTCTACAAGATGTGTATCCCAAGTATATGTCTTCTAAACAAGTAGCATCATACCTGGACATTCTGGACATGATTTAAACATGCAAGAACAAATGATGCAACTCTTAAGATTCCAACCCAATCAAACCCAACAGATGGGAATATAAATCATTATTGTAGGCTATTCTTGTAGGTATTGCAAGAACATAGTTTTGAACACTAATTTGCTAATGTATTTCCTCGAAATTTTATTTCTAAAGAAAAAAATGAAAACAGCAGTCCTTTTAATTCACTTGATTATTCAAAACTAGGCATTACATTATCCCATTTTTGGAATAGACCCCCCAAAAATGAAAATTCTGCAATCATTTATTCATCCTGCATGGCATAAAATAAGGCATTTTATTAAATGTCTGCAGTGTTTTTTGTCCATACAATGGAAGTCAATGGTAACCAAATCTGTTCTTCAAACATTCATCTTACAGCAAGCAATACACATTTGGAACAATTTTTGGGTCAACTATCTCTTTAAAGCCATTTTTCTTACAATTCCAAAATAAATAAATGTCAAATGACAGTGACAACCTGGCAAATGTAGTACATCTAGGTTTTATTCATACTCCAGATATTCTCACTATACAGAGCTTACTTTTGAACAGTTGCAAAATAAGTTCTAATTATGCGATTTTGGAAAACAGCTTGTAAGATTGGGCTCATATGTCTTTCCCTATTGGATACATAAGATCTTATGTTCAACCATACTATTTCTCTCACGTTAACAAAAAGTTTGATTTAGAATCTGTATGTTAAAAAGCCCCACTTGTCTGTAACAGTGAATTTCAAATTTTTTCTGTTAGGAATGGAAGAAATGCCTTCTGTTAGTTGTGTTTTTCGTCGTTACTGTACATTTACATGTGTGTGTTGGAAGACTCTTGTGTAATATCTCTGCTCAGTTACATGTGAGATGTGAGAGTGAGGAGGAAGTGTTGTTTCCTCGTCGATAGAACATATCTGATTCTGTGTGTGTGTGTGTGTGTGTGATTTAGAATGTAAGAGCCAGAGCTCATCAATGATTTACAATCAGACATTAAAACATGTTTGATCCTGGAGGAGAGGCAATGCTTTCCCTGAAGCTAAACTCTTCTCTTGAGCCACATCGATCTGTCTCTAACCGTGCCCCCTCCATCCTTCTCTCTTCTTGCCCTTTCCTTTTCTATTTCCCTCCATCCCTCGCTCTAGCTCCCTGTGTCTCGTCTCTCCCACAGTGGCTACATTTGTTCACATGTTCTGTGCTATCTATCTCCTGTGTCATCCCTGTTGTATGGCTTTCAGATGGCGCTTTCGTTTTTATATCCTCTTTTATTTCATTTTCTTTTCTTCTCATCCTCAATTTCCTGTTCTTTGCTCTTTGAGCCACGCTCTTCTGTTGTTCCTTTTTTTTCGTTTTATGTATCATGGTTTGTACAAAAACATTAAGCAGCACATCTGATTTCAACACTAATAAGAAGAAATGTTTCTTGAGGACTAAATCAGCATATTAAAATGATTTCTGAAGGATCTGAAGACTAATGATGCTGAAATTTCAGTTAAATATTAAAGGTTAAATCATATGATGCGATTTCAATTTTTCCTTTCTCTTTGGAGTGTTACAAGCTCTTGGTGCATAAAGAAGATCTGTAAAGTTGCAAAGACTAACGTCTCAAATCCAAAGAGATATTCTTTATAAAAGTTACGCCTACCTAACACGGCTCGTTCTAACATGCCCCCACATATCTACGTCACGATGTGGGAAGATTTGCATAATGCCGCCCAAATGTTCACGCAAAGAAAGAAGGCGTAACTTTTATTTTCACTGTAGTATTGTTGCCGCCGCTGCCATGTCGTGAAGGCGCTGTATGATTCGTTGTGAAAGCGAAACTACTTTGTTTGGCCTTCCAAAAGAGGACGATATCGCTTCGTCTGTCATTTCTCCGATCACAAATGCAGACAGAGTTTTATGTTTACGCGGCGCGATGCAACGCAACGCTTAAAAAGAAAGTATAAGTTATTATAATCCATAATTATGTCCCCACTGGATGCAACGAATGCCTCGTTTATAATGGGTTTTCATGTTTTTGAATCATCGCTCCGGCCGGACAGGGCATCATCACAGTATGATAGGGGCGTAACATTTCCGTCACACACTTGAGGTATTCGGCCAATCATAACGCTCTGGATAGCTGGCCAATCACAGCACACCTCGCTTTTCAGACCGATGAGCTATGTAAAAATCTACGCGTTTCAGAAAGGCGGGGCATTAACCTTTTTTAACCTTAAACCGCATAAACACATTTCATTACACCAAATACACCAAATAATGTTCTTTTTAGCAACATCATATGACCCCTTTAATAATATTCCACAATATTATTGTTTACTCTGTTTTCGATCAAATAAATGTAGCCTTGGTAAGCATAATAAGTTTTAGCATTCTAGAAGCATGCTGTATTTTATATTAAAGTCTCGCAGTAAAGGCTCTTTCACATGGCTCACATCAGCTTTGCCCAGTGAGTTGAACTCTAGGAGCTATTACCTCCAGCGGCACACTGTGTGCCAGTCAAACACTGTTAATGCGTCACTCAAAGTTCAAACAATTTTAAGTGTGTGACCTTTTAAAGCACAGCCAGTGATTACTGGAAAATTCACATGATGAATGATATTACAGGTCTGAAGTATGCGATGTTTGCACATGCTTTTGCATCTCTAATGAGACCTTTCAGAGTTGTTAAAGCCTCAGAGATTTTTTCACAAACTTTATGAGGAGATCTTGAATTCCTCAGTTTCATTTTATTCAGTTATATATACAACTTAATATTTCCAACAACAATCCAATTCATGTAATTTTAAATGAATGTGAATCAATTTTCTGTGAGTAGTTTTTCTCATTCTGCAGTGTATTAAATAGTTTACTGTGTGTGCACTCCTGCTTTCATGGTACATACAGTAGCAGCCTCTTAGAACTGGCTTTCCGTAACTCTATCTGCAATGCTTTTCATGTGGTGGTCAAAAGGGCACATGATGCTTGCACTGAAGCCTTGATGTGAGTCATATGAAAAGCTGATGTATGAAATGGAAAACCTGCATACAATTTTCTGAATACAGCACAGTATACAATGTAGTGCATTGTATATATATATATATATATGCAGCATTCTGCAATCATGGAGAATTTGAAAATAAATACTTGAAAAAAATATTTTCCTGCAGTGAATTTCTTAACTTTTTTTCAGTTCGATCAAATAAATAGTGAAGTGAATATTATATGCAGCTGAAATGGAGAGAGCAGTATGTTAGTACACTGTAAAATATGATTTTTCAAAGTTGTAAATAAAACAAAAAATATTTAAGTATGTTTTGCAAGAAATGGTATTTCATTCTTTCTACTTTTTTTACTATTTTGCATTTAATTACATGCGTTACTTGCCATTACTTTGTAAATATTTGCCAAATTTACTAGCAATTTCTGAGTGATTTCTTTTAAAAACTGTTTTATTCAGTGTATGCTATTCCAAACATAGAGCTTACTGCATTTAAACTGTATCCCAGAACCCAATGTGATAACTAGATCTTGAGGAATGAATCAGAACTAATATCAGGCACCATTTTTAGCTGACTTTTTGTGTCTCATCAATTTATCAGACTTCCCCAAAAGAAGACATTTTTACATTATACTGGATTTAAAATGCAAAATGTTACTTTCTGATATAAACATGCAACTTGGTAAGGTCATGTGACAACAATATAGTGAAATGCCATTGCCTACTATTTCACTTATACTAGGACAGACTAGACTAAATACTAGGCCACTACATATTCCATTCCAATCATAGTTTCTCTCTCTCTCTTTCAAATTCATTCCTAGTTGATCGGTAGAACTTTCCTAATATTTCAGAGTAGATATATCATCCCTCACTTCAGAGCATCCCTCCCTCTCTCTCTCTTGATCTTCCCATCACCCCATTCTGAATCTCTTTTTAATTAGCCATGCTCTAGAGTGAAATTCTTCATCCTGGATTCACTTCATAAGTACTGCTGGCATATTCACATCTATCAGGAGAGGCAGACAGAAGCTGCTGTCATCCGAACTCAGTATGAGCATCTTGGGTGTGTGCGGATGTGAACAGACAAAGCGAGATATGAGATCATTATTGTAATGCTCTGTATTAATTAGAGATGAGTTGAAAATACTCACCATCATCCCCTGATCCAGAGCCAGCATCTGCAAAGCAGAAAACAGACGGTCAGGAACACAAGCGTCATGTCCATTCACACGGATTTAGTTCTATTTTTGAACCTATTCTAGATGCACCTTACAAACAAAAAGACTATGCATTTGATAATTAGATTGCACACTCATAGACACAAAAGATGTTTGTCTACAGCACTGTGGCAAAACCATTCATTCACACATCTAAAACCCCTTTGGCCAAACAAGTCGCTGCTTCTGCAGATTATTTGCATTAAATAAAAAATTCTGTCATCATCTACCAAGCCTCACATTGTGTCGAACTTGCATGATTTCTTTTTCCTGTGGAACACTAAATGAGTCTAATCAAAATTTCTGTTTTCCATTCAATAAAAATGCTTACTGATTACTGGCTGACAAGTTCAGCTGCATTTTCACTTTATTAAAGTTAATTAGAATGGGATTTGAACACTGGCCCTCTTTGCTCACTAAAAAAACGGTAGTTAAAAAAAAAATATATATATATATATATAAATAATAAATGCTGTAGTTTAGATAAGTGATAATCAAATGAAGAGGCGCAAATTGATGCTAAAGGGATACTCCATCCAAAAACAAAAAATCTCTTCACAAATCGAACACGGCAGAAAGAAGGAAGCATAAACTTAATGTAAAACTGTCCCTTTATAGGTCAGACGGTCACGTCCTGTAACTGGACAGTTCTTGGCTAGAAGAATCTTCAGATTTTTGCCTAGAATGTGGGCTGTCGCCTATGTCATACAGTTGTCATACACAGTGCATGCTTAGATTAGAAATACATATTCACATCTAATACCATTTTCCTATCTTTATGGCTTTTCGCAGCATCTGTGTCTTGCACAGATGCAGAGGAGAACAACAGAAGCAATATCACAGACGTCATGCAAAATGAAAGTCAGCATGGCACGTGCAATTCTCTCTTAGCCCTATATATACAAGGCATTTATGGAACACTAACGTACACTGGAGGCTTCTAATTCTAGAACATTCCTGGGACTTAAACTGAGCTTTTATGAGCCCAATGGATTAAAGAATTGAGGACTAGTGGGCAAAAGAAATACAACTATAGAGGGAAATGTATACATTAGAGAGGAAAGGGAGGGTGGAAAATAGCTTGGCTGTCACCTCATTTCCCATTTTTAACACTTATAAATCTGCCCTCCGGCTGCATCTGTACCTATCAAAATATAAATAATGGAGTTCTCGTGGATTCATTTGAGGTGAAAACAAAAAGTAGCCCCAGATAACCCCACTTTCTCTCTCTCAAGTTCAAGGGCACAGCCGCTATGACTAGACTGTACCATGCTCTCTCGCTCTTAGTCTTTCTCGCCATCCGCCCCTGGGCTCGACGGCAGCTTTGGGAAAATCTGACATTCATCAATTTGTTATGATGGAGAGGAGCAGCTTATAGCTCTGTGCCCTCCCATCAATCACCCCACCAATTATTCCCCGCCCAGAACAAATATAAATCTTCGTTTGAGATGGCCACAGGAAGGCGAGGCCTTAATGTGTTATTCCTTTAATTCCAAACTGTGCCCCTCCTGCGTCTCTGCAAAAGTACTTTTCTTAATAAGCCTTTTTGTCTTGTTTTTTAGTAAAAGTATCTCAACCCCACTAAGTAATGGATAATGTACAGTATCACAAAATAATTCATTTTAACAATAGAAATTACTCTTTTAATAAAATGTATTCTAGAGATGGCAAACAAATAAAATGAATCGTATAAAATAGATTTTGAAAAGGTGGCCACTATTTAATTTAATGAATGGAATCACACCATAAAGAGCATAGGAAAATCAACATACATGAACGGAGCCACTACAGCCAATGTTTTTTTGTCTGTGATCATTCATGTAGATAATGTGATTTTGTAGATATAAACTACCAAATTCAAAAGTTTGGGGTCAGTATTATATGTCACTAGCCACGTTATTAAGTATACCTGTTCAATTGCACATTAACACAAATACCTAATCAGCCAATCACATTGCAACATTTAGACATGTCTACATGTCAAGATGATCTACTGAAGTTCAAACTAAGCATCAGAATGGGGAAGAAATGTGATTTAAATGACTTTGGGTATGTTCACACTGCAGGAAGATGTGACCCAAATCCAATTTTTTATGTATTTATTTATTTAAAAATTTTTTTTTTTGCTCATATATGTGACTCGTTTTTATTTCATTACAGTGTTAAGAGCACAAACCACATGGAATCTGATCTTTTCAATTCTGAGTTGGTCCACTTTCATATGTGGTCATAAATCCAATTCAGGTCAGATGTTTTTCAAGTCTGAACACTCAAAATGGAATTCACATGGCTTTTACATCACTAGATCGACATTCGTCATTATTCCGCACTGACAGGAGATTTTACATACTGGTAGTTCTTTGATCACTCTGTGAATATGACATACAGTTGAGTAAGGAGTCAGTGAAGAGACAGTGTGGTGTTGTTTTACAGTGTATTACAGTGACAGCTCCATACAAGCTAAACTTAAGGAGTTGTACGTACAGTAAATACTTAAAAACTTTGCACTCTTTCTCCTCATCTTCGACCTCCTTATTGTCTGCTTGTGAATTCACTGGCTTTTGTGGCACATCAGCTTATAAATTAACATGTTAATGCTTACTTAAGTGCAGGGCCGGCATCACAGGGGGTGCACCACACATTCTGTTTATCATTATTTACAGGCCTCCAAAATACTCTCCAGCCTTTGTTGAAGAATTCACAGAAATGTAATAAATGATTTCCTCAGAGTTTGACTGTTTTGCTATTGCAGGGGATTTTAATATTCACATTGATAATGCAGATATCAAAAACTACAAAATAAATTATAACTGTTTTAAACACTTTTGACCTGATTCAGCAGACCTGATCTGATCACTTATGTATTTTCTTTGATATATTGATCTCTGCTCCCTCTGAATCTAGATCTGTCTCTGTCAGAAAGAGATGCATTAACGAGAACACTAGTGTGCTATTTATGAAGGCTATATCTTTAACACCAAGCATTTCTGCAGACTCTGTTGATCTTCTCCTTGATTCCTTTAACTCAAAAGTTAAAAATGTTATTGATGATTATTGCTCCTGTGAAAGTCAGCAAGAAGACTGGCAGACAAAAATCAGCTTGGAGAAAATCAACAGCAGTACAGAGTATGAAAAGACAATGCAGAAAAGCTGAGCGGATGTGGCGGAAGACGACATTTGAAATTCACTATAGCATCTATAAAGACAGCCTTCATGCTTTCAATGTGGAACTAGCCACAGCTAGACAGACCTTCTTCTCAAACCTTATAAATAGTAACTTAAACAACACTCGCACTCTTTTTGCTACTGTTGAGAGACTGACAAACCCCCCAAGTCAGACTCCCAGTGAAATGCTCTCTCCGACAGCAAATGCAATGAGTTTGCTTCCTTCTTTTCTGAGAAGATCAATAATATCAGAAAGGCGATTAGCACATCCTCAAGTTATGCAGAGGTCAGACAGATTCGACTGCAATTTCAAAAAGAAGTTACTATTTCTGTTTTTGAAGCAATTGATAGCAACATTTTGGAAGAAATAGTACAGCACCTTAAATCGTCAACCTGCTATCTTGACACACTTCCCACATATTTTTTTCAAATGTGTGCTTAACTAAGTGGTGAACGCCTCACTTCACTTTTCCAAACTCCCTGAAAACTGCAGTTGTTAAGCCCCTTCTGAAAAAGAGCAATCTTGATAATACCATATTGAGCAATTATAGACCAGTATCAAATCTTTCTTTTATAGGCAAGATTATTGAAAATGTAGTTTTTAATCAGCTGAACAAATACTTAAACTCAAATGGATACCTGGACAATTTTCAATCTGGTTTCCGACCGCATCAAAGCACAGAGACAGCACTCATAAAGATAATAAATGATATTCGCTTAGATTCTGGCAAAATATCAGTACTGGTACTACTAGATCTCAATGCTGCGTTTGACATATTATATATATTAACATATTTCTAGAGAGACTGGAAAACCAGGGCCAGGAGAAGGCCACAGGAGGAGCACTAACAGCAAACCTTCACATGCACATCACTCCAAACACTTCATAACTCACAATTCAGACTGAATAAACTTTCAGTGCACTCTGTCACTATGGCGCTTTTCCACTGCGTGGTACGACTCGGCTCGGCTCGGCCCGGCTCAGTACGGCACGACACGGTTCGGCTCGGCACGGTTTGCATTTCCACTGCAGTTCCCTACCGCTTTAGAGTAGGCGGGATTATTCACATGTCGTTATAGTTGCGCCGCCTCTACTACCACGACTCTTAAAAAAAACTTTTTAATTCCGCGTCGCCCCATCAAGCTCTCGCTGGATCCGCTCCTCTGCTATCAACGAGAGGAACGTCTGTTCTTCCACAACAGACAACAAAACTTTTTGGTTGTTAAAAAAAGGTGCGCTCGTTCCAAACAGTTGCGTTCGATCCTTCCCTGGCTGTGCCGATTTAAATCTAGCGGATCTTTTGTGTTTGTGTCGCAAGTTCAGTGATGCAGGTAGTGACGATTCTCTCCGGCCAATCAGTGATCAGCAGAGTTTACACATCACGTTTTGGTAATGGTACGGTTCACTTGGAACCCCAACTGGGGTGGTACTAAAAAAAGTACCAGGTACCAGGTACTGTACCCAGTGGAAAACCCCCCAAAAGTGAACCGTACCGAGCCGTACTGTGTCGTACCATGCAGTGGAAAATCGCTATTAGACAGCTGCAGCTCATCTAGAACGCTGCTGCCTGGATTCTGACTAGAACCAGAAAATCTGAGCATATCACACCAGTCCTCAGGTCCTTACAATGGCTTCCAGGCTTATATTTTAAAGTACTTTTACTCGTTTATAAATCACTAAATGGCTTAGGACCTAAATACATTGTAGATATGCTCACTGAATATAAACCTAACAGACCACTCATATCATTAGGATCGAGTCAGTTAGAAATACTAAGGGTTCACACAAAACAAGA